AGATTCGAACACTTCCATCCTTTTACTCATTTCGATATTGATCCTTGTATTCTTTCAATAACGTACGATTCTTATTAACTGTATTAGAGTTCTCCTTTCAAATGAAAGTTTGGCACACTCCGCCCTAATACCTATCGTATATATAAGCGGGCATAACGCGATTCCCTACACTTTAAGAGTTTTATCACCGGCAATCAAACAAGTAAAACCGACACTCACACCAGATATCACAATACGCAAAGCTCTTTTGTTTATCGACTAAATGAAATTCTAAATTTTCCAAACTCTCAGCTGTTTTATGGAGAACATCGTTTATGCTTTGGGAAGTTTTTATTACCTTTAAAAAATGAATTCATTTAAGCTCTTTGCTAGAGATTCGGTGAATAAAAGTACGTTGCTTGGTCATGAAGATAGATGAAATGATTAATAAAAGGATGTTGATAGAAATTTCATACCGATTTGCTAAACAGACGACAATTGTATTTCAAACATGGATCAAGGGTAGCGGACTCCATTTGTAGAAAATAGAGCTTTTTATATCCCACAACACTTGTGATACAAGGATATAATAGCTTTGTGCGTTGGTATGCAACACCCAGGAGTACTCAAGATAGACTAAACCTGCCTGTTCGTCTGTCCGTATTCTTCCGTTCAAGCTGTAGGTGGCATTTTTTGAGATATATTGATAAAATTTAGTGATCCAACGTGTTTCGGCCCAAGAACGAACGCTCTTGACAATGGTTCATAAGGGGCCACTTTTTCCACTGTTTCCCATATTCCCTTATTTTGAAACATTGTTAAATGAAAGACTGTGTCTAATAATGGGGCGTGAACTACTATAGTCTTTTAACTGGTTTTTTTTGCACCAATTAAAAGGTATGCTAGATAATACTTCGTTTGCAGCTCCCCTGGGCGATCTTATACAATATTTTTTTTTTTTTTTGGATCAACCTTAACAACAACGTATTGGTTTGAAACTTGTAGCCATTATATACTTTCTTGAAATAAATAGCCTTCTTCGTGTTTGTAAAGAGTCACTGGTTTTCCTTACAGTTTAGTATCCAGCACCGAGGATTACGTTTGGAATTAAGCAGCATATATGCCACATTGTTTACATTTGCGATTAAATTAACTAATAGACTTGATTTTTTACGCGTCCAATTTCGCGAAAGTTAAGATATTCGACAGACAAGGGAAAATTAAAGGGACCACAAAGCTTTGTGTATTCTTCGTTTTATTCTCTCGTTACTGTTCTTCTTGCATAAGCTTTAATTATTTCATTTTCAATTTCATTTCCCTTCGACACTTTACTTACTGTTCGCTCTCTTTACAAATCTTTTCTCTCTATTGACAAGAAAAAACGAACTTAACGAATGTCAGTCAATCCTTGGCACCATGTGCGTGTGATCTCTGGCACGTTGTTTTTTTTTTTTTTTTTTCTTCTCTATTTTTTTTAACAGCAGACGAAGATAAGAAGTTTACTACAAACCCACTATGGTTTTGTATACCAAGCTATCCGTGTATATCTCCGAACGTATAAATGAATTAAAAGGCAGAGAGAGCAAAATTAAAGGAAAAAAAAAATACACACGAGTGAATGCACAGCGTGTAGCATACTTCTTTAGTAACAGACAAAAATGTTTGTGCGAATCTTTTTTATATCCGTAGACAGCGTAGACAACATATGCAAACAATTATTGGGCTCTGTCTACTTTAAATGGTTTTGAATTTTTAATAAGTTGAGTTTCTCAATCATTGACTGTCAAATTCACTCAGTATAGGTTTGACTGCCTTATGATGGTGGTGGTCTCGATGAAGAAATTGAAATTCGTTCATAATACGTAACATATCGCGACGACAGATCTGAAAAGATTTTCGCTTTTCAAATTTACAATTTCTGTCAATTATTCTCATCTAGAGATAGATGATAACTACGTTGAAAATATGAGCTGCGTGGCATTTTGGAAAAAAATGCCTTCGTCGAACTAGCAAACATGTAAATAAATTATTAAAAGTAACAGTATTAATAAGTTTTTCCATTTAACAGGGGTATATTAAATTTATGTGGACATATGGAAAAACACACTTCAGGTCTTCAAATATTATGAATCCCTATTTAATAATATGAATCGATCAATTCTCTGATTCTCTGATGATTGGCTGACAGACGAACTTAAATGGAAATGGTTATGACGGCTCATTAAAAAGAATGCTCGCTATATGAAAAATACTACCAAGTTTTAATATTCCGCGACAAGAAGCGGTGAAAGGTAATATTCTCTCATTCTCACAATAAACCTAGAATCGGATGATATTTGGTCATTTTTTTGTCTCCCCCATAAAAGCATTTTTACTGAAAATGAGATTGGACATGTCGAAAGATCAAAAGGCATCTGCCATAATAGATTCTTTGAAATGGCAGTTACCTTTTACCAAAGATTTGGAACCAGGGCAGTACATATGCTGCTTAAATGACTTTAGCCTTTTCATACCTACGCATCTGCTCTTTCATATTAATATACAATGTAAGAATTGATAAGACAATCCTCTCAATGCAGACTAAACGCAGCCACGCTAAGGCGTCTCGAAGTTACTTTGGCATTAAAATGACATTTGTTACATCTAATTACTACATATTAATGTTTCTTTGCTGTTGCCAGTTAATACGTGCAAAAGATTCTATTAATAAAAGCACAGATTCCCTTATTGATATGTTTACAACCAGTGCAAAAGATTAAGTTATAAACTCTTGTATCAATATGTTAAGCAAGAAATATATATATAAACAAGCATTTTCCACAAATTTACTTATGTTAAACATTTCTTTTGCCCCTCCTCGCTTTATAGATAGATAAGTCTTGCGTTTTTTCACGTACCGCCAATAAAACCAAACAAGCATGCGGACGCATTACAATACAATATATGTAGGTATGTATATGTATACACGCATGTATATACGTATGTCACGTCACGTCACGTCTTTCATTTAGTATTTCCTTTTTATTGATTTGGAAGTGTAAAAATATCGTTCGTATTGTGTTCGTTTTTATTGTTGATTTGCACATAAGTCTGCGTTTTTTCATCTTCTTCTTTTTTTGCTTTTGTCAACTCAAGCATGCACTTGTTTTACAGGAATTTGTTTTGTCTAAACGTTCGTTTACTTGAGATTTGTATCCAAATCAAGCAGCATGGCTTCATTGTTTCTTCTTCTTTTTCTTTTGGATTTTGTCATTTGGGAATTTTGTGCAGCTCGTGCATTCCTTTACTTTTGTCTTTTCTAATAATGATTCGTTCACTCACCCATTTATTTACTGTTATTATCGTAATGTTCAACTTACTGGTAATATACGTATACGTACAAATGTTACTTAAGTAACAACTATCGCCTCATGTATATCGTGGACATCGTAAGTGTCTACAGAGAATTCTTTTGTCTTGAAAAAGTCCTTGTTCATAAACATGTATGTATCACAAATATATATACATATATTTATATATATCCAATTTATTATGAATTGAAAGTTATTGAAAGCAATAAATGCGTTTAAATTTTTTAAACAATGGTCGACAAATAATAATAGATAGATAACAAACAAGCAGCAAACTTTTAAATGTATTAAGGAATTAAGCATAAAATAATGTATTCAAATTTTTTTATATTCCACACCAGTTACCAGAACTTATAATAGGCCCAACCTTTGATATATCATTTCGTTCGAATTCCCGATTCGAATTATCCATGTCTGTCCGTCTGTCCGCTTTCTATATTCAACCTATACCCGAATATAAACGGTATTGAAAATGGATTAGTCTTTTTTTTTTCCTTTTTATTTGCCTCAACCTCTTTTCCTTTTTTATTCGCCTCGATTTATTTATTATACATAAATATGAAATATTCACTATACTCACTAGCTCCGGTTCCGGACCGTTTTCCTTTCTTTGAGAAAATTGACTTTTTTTTCATAAACCCATTTTGCACACCTCTGCCCCGCACATAACAAGGATTTTTGAACATTTTATGATGAAAATTAATGCAAGATAGGTGTAAGGATAAGCTTTCGTATGGCAAAAAGATTTAATGTTTGATGTTTTATGGGGTAAAGTGATGCAGAATTGTATCAGACGAAATAGTTAGCGTAGAACTAGTAAAGTTCAACTTTGCCCGATTATGACCGTAGAAATTGTCTTTGAAAATAATTAATTAAGGAACGAATTGAATAAAGAATTTAAAAAAAAGTTGTCAACCGATTTCGTTACTCTTTCTACAGACTTCTCCAGAAATTACTTATACTTCTACAGACCGAGATTTAAATAGTTGTTAATAATTTAAAATATGATTAATAAACTATAGAAAACTTCTTGAACACGTATAATTTCCCCATTTGAAAATTTCAACCAACTACCCACAATTGGTTTAGAATGAATGGCAAATCTAATACGAAACTTACTGAACATAGTCTTAACAAGCCATTTATCGTAATAATGCGCAGTACAAGCTCAAGCCAAAAAAATGTCTAAAGTGTCAAAATGAAAAAACTTTACCGTTGATTATTCCTGTAATGTAAGGATTTATATACAAAAACTTTTTATATTTAGTTTATTTCTCAAAGTTTTTTAATTATTGAATTTTAAGTTTTGAACATTTTCTTAACCTTCCCTAGATACAATCAGTCGTTGGCGAAACATTTTGAAATATTCAGTGATGCGGGAATAGCTAATTATCAGAACGAAAAAATTGAAAACGGGAAATCAGTAAATATAAGCATTAAAGCTAAAAAAAATGCACAAAGCTATTCAGCAAAATGAAGTTCTATCCTCAAGTGCAAAAACTTTCAGCTAAGGCATAAAAACAAGCATTTTGTGAATATCGTTTCCAGGATAGCTGGCGGCGATGAAATAACAATGATTCGATTCTTTAAAAGAAACTGGTAAATGCAACGAGTGGAAGATGCAATTATTCCAAAAAAAAAAAAAAACTTTTTTTCGTGTATGCTACTTACATAACCAGTTCAAGCGTTCCGTGTATTCGATCTTTCGCTTAAGATCCTTGATCAAAGCACGAAAATCGTCATCATTAAAGTGGCATTGTATGATTGTGTTGTTGAGTTGCACAATACTGTATTCGTTGTTGCCATTAGCATTGCCAATGCCATTACCACCAGTAGCAGCGCCAATACCTGCTGAGGTCGTCGCGGTACCGATACTCGAAGAACCACCGCAACTACCGGTTGCGGCTATTGCTCCCGTTATGGTACGCAAATCACTGCTGGCATAAAAAGCTGCATTACTTTGTCCAGTGCTAGCGTCGACATTACTGCATGACTTGCTCAATATTAAAGTTTGCCGATTGGCTATAGAATTAGCAGCCAATAGATGCTCACCGGCTGCGCCACAACTACCCCGATGTAACGGTAATTTCGTGCAATTATTATTTTTCAATGTTATTTGCAACTGATTGCTAAGCGTCTGTCCTATATGTGTGGAACAGTCGCTAGCTCGTCGCCGCCTTAGATTATCATCACCCGGTATAGGTTGTAAGAAAGCGTTGCTAGTGCGTTGTTGCACGTGCTGTTGTAGATGACTAGACGCTGTTGCATTAATTAAATATGTGCCGACCTTTGGCAATTTATCGGTACTCGGACTTCCGCTGACACCGTTAACGCCACCGTCTTCTTCGTTATCCAATTGTAGTAAACGTTCAACACTGCTGCTAGCTGTTTTACTGCTCATTATGATTAAATGATTGCGTGGTATCTTAGTTAGAGCCAGCGCCCCTCCGGCACTGTTACGCCTACTATAACGTTTACGTATCACGGTGACCTTATTGCGACGGTCTTCATACAATTGTATTAACAAATCTTCAAGTAAAACAATCGAACCAGTCGCTGTTATGGGGGTTGAGGATTTACGACGCACTGTACTCGTTACGGAGTCGTCGTCAAACGAACTCTCCGCTGTTTGCGGCAAACAGCAATAACTACTTGCCACCGAACTGGCCGGTGTCGAGCTACGCAACGAACCGTTGCCTGAAGTGCCAGAACGAAGTTTCACTTCTACTCTGTTGCCTTCACGTTCCGGATCTATAATTGAATGTTTAAGTATAATCTCTTGCAGTAAACGCCTCTGTTTAGCAGGGCTATAGGGATTTACAAGCTTGAAGTCACCATATAGTTTAGATAAGAATCGCACACGTGCTGCAATGTGACCGATTTTACGCAATAAGTGTATATCGGAATTCACATGAGCATGCGAATGATCCGGTACACTACCCGTTAAGCGGCGCTGTAGGCGCGGGCGAGGGGCTCCAACCGCCGTAGCGGCCGCGACAGACGAAGAAGATGTAGAAGTAGTACTTGCCGTCGAGATACGTGATCTGATCTCGTATTCTGCCTCGCTACTGCTCTCAGACGGACAACTGAATCCGTTCTCTTCGTCGTCCTCTACTGTAGCCTGTGAATATGCGTAGGAAAATTGTAAAGGCGGGTAAGACGATTGTTGCTGCTGCTGCTGTTGTGGCCGATTTTGGAGATGCGATGTTGGTAATGCTGTGCTAGCTGAGTCCGAAGCAACTTCAGCAACATTCGTTGTAGGCGGCGGCTGAGGACTGCTACGGCAGCTGCTGTCCTTGTACATTTATACACGCACTAAATCCCAAAAATCAAAGCAACACCAACTAATAGTTGTTCTCGAAGTTTATTAGTGTTGAGCATAAAAAATATGCATTGGAAGAGAGTTTCACGTGTTCCCGCTCTCCCCCCGACTTGCCGTGTCCGACGGCTTTTTCAATTTTTCTTTTTATACTTTAAGAATTTGCATTAATTGTTAATATAAAGTGTATTTTATTTTCTTCATTTTTGTTTTTTTCCTTTTTTTTTCTTTAAAATGCCGTAATATTTTATTGTGCGTTGCTTCTGTCAATCTGTAAAGAAAAGAAAAAGCGCTATAAAGTTGGAAATAAAAAAAAAACATAAAAAATAAAAAAAGAAAGTCGACAAATTCATTTACTCATATTGCGAAATCAGAGAGTTATAAATTTCTGAACTTGAATAATGGATGGAGTACGAATTTTCAAGAGTGAATAGTTTCCGACCACCTTAATAGCAATCTTAATAAAAAATTACAAAACATTTGTGGTTTTCATTTTCGACTTTCAACTGGTATTGTGGTATATGTAAAGTCGACACTCTCCTGCCCGTGTCATTCATAGATATTATATAGATTTCTATACAACATTGTGTGGAGTATTATTGTGTGGATTTTGTGGTTATTGTCAAAGAGTTCTTAGTTCAATATTTCAAGTTATTTATTAAAGAATGCATTGTGAATGAATGTATGCATATCGACCACAAGTGGGAAACCACAATAACACACATAAACAGAAAACAAATCCACGCAAAATCATAGCCGAGTGCCAGAAATTGAAGGTACAGCCTTTGACATGTTTACATATATAGTATTCGTAGATGGCTGAATATGTTTTTGCTTACAGATGACTATACCAAAAACTGCCAACTACATATGTACTCCTATCCTATGTCCTGTTATGTCAAATTTGTTCTTATATTTGTCAAAAAAATTCACTCGTTTTTACCCTTCATATGTTATTTCAATAAATTTTCAGTTATGTGCTGCTTTAATACAAAATGCATTTATTTTGTTGTTTCCTGTTTTGTAATTTAATGGGTTTTATAGAAAACTCTTTGTTGATAAAAATTGTATTTCATTATTTCAAATGTTTTGAGAAAAAAACTTCTTCGATTTCAAGAGTATAAAATTTTCGCAATTTTTCGTATACGCATCAACTATGTCTCTATGAACCATAAATCAATTAACACGCCATCGTACTATTTCCCAGATATTGTTGTATCTGCACTTTCTTTCTCTCTCACTCGCACTGTTCCGTCTATCTCCGTTTTACACATACTCGTAAATCCTTGGCTTCGCAACATGTTTTCTATTAATAAATTCAAATTGAAATGTTTTTCAAAATTATTATTTTCGTTGGCCGCTGAGCCAAACGCGATTTTATTGGTTTTAATGTAGACAGACTTCAATTAACTGTGCTGGCAACATCATTACCATTACCATCGTCATCATCATCGTCACCGTCGCCGTCGCCAGCATCGCAGAAATTTTACAGCACTATTCATATCATGTATAAAAACGTTTGCCTAAATGAGAATTTTTTTTTTTTTATCTCATAAATGCAGATACAAATTGATTGCGATATCTCTTATTATTAGCGCGCAAAAAAAAAAAAATCCTCAAATAATAATAATAATTTAAGTCAAGCAGAAAAACAACTATGAAAAACATTAAAGAGCGCCAGCTTTAAAATACTCGCAATTATTTAAAATATTAATTGAATAAAGCGATAGTTAGTGTTCCTCCCATCCTCTTAACATTTTTTATTTATTTTTTCCCCCAAAACTTAATGAACTTTTAAGGAAGGAAAACGTGCGATGTTACTCACTCACTCACTCACTTACTCACTCACTGCAACTGAGTGATAAGTTACCCTAAATTCCTTAAATATGACAAAAAAGTCTTTATGTATTGGTAGAGGACTCAAGGGTTTTTATTTGTAACGTGTCATATCTCAGGCATTACCATCAGCAATAAACAGAACTTGCTGTATCTTAGCTGAATTGAACACGTAAATTCCATACGTTCGTTGTAGCACAATGCAACATCTCTTCAAAATGACGTTGAAGATAATCAAACTCATGTTGCTTATCCTTTACGGCATAATGTTTGTCGTAATTGGTTTTTTGGGTTATATGCGTCAGCATACGCAAAACATCACCATTATAACTAACTACGAAATCGAAACGAATATGCGAAATACGTATAGAGATACGCCTGCAAAACTAGTAAGAAAGATGAAATGGCAACTATAAGTGAACTATCTATGTATGTATGTACATATGTATGCATGGATAACATTGAATAGGTACGGTAAGGAAAGCGTTAGTGACAGTGATAGTAGTGGATCATATTTTATCTTTTCGACGCTGCTGGGGACACATGAGCTTACATGAGCGCCTACCTTATCGTGACAGATGCTGCACAATGGCACACATATGTACATATATGTTATACTTAAATTGAATTAAAATCTCTTATACTTCCGTATAGTTATTATAATGATTTTTTAACTTTTTCATTTAACTCTTTTTCCTGATTCTATCAATTAAGAAAATCAAAAAAAAAAAAAATTTAATTATAAAAATTACACAATTTTTATATATAAAAACACGCACATATCAGTGTCCTTCTGCATCCATTTAATTTCCATGGACAAACTTTGTGATTTTATAAATTTCTCTATATTTTAGAAAAGCAAGTGTATTTTTTTTCTCTTTTAAATTTGTTATTAATTGAATCCTTTCATAATAAAAAAAAAATTATATCGTAACCAGCGAGAGATATATCTCAACGTGGCAGTTGCAAGACATGAAATTAACAATTGATTAAGGCATGCTTTCTAAGGGATTCATTCCCTTCAAGCAACAAATTAAAGTTAAATGTAGAAAGAAAAATTTTCTATTGGGAGCTCGCTTGTCAAAAATGGAAATTTCACACGCCCGAATAGGCGTTCCGTGTTGTTGCCCTATTTTCACGCCCACAAAAATCGAATAACAAGCTGAAATTTCGTAAATGTATATACATATATATATATATATATGTATTATATATATATATATATATATATATATATAGGTGACGGCAACAGATCAAGTTTCAAAATGGCCTGACTCAACTACAATCACAGCAGGCAGGAACTGTCGCTTACAATTTGCTCATGGCGCAGAAAAGAAAAAGTTGCAATTCTTACATATGGTTTGGAGTTTAACGTAACAGACTTAACTTTTTCTCTTCTTTTTCCTTTTTGCAAATGAATTAAATTTAAAATTAATTACAAAATTTTATTTTAATGCGTTTAGATCAACTAGCAACTAGGACTATTGGTTCTTTTTTCTTTTTTCTTAAAGCAGATGAGAGATTAGTTTAGCAAGTTTCAGTTCTGAACATGTTCGAGGAGTTTCAATGCTTCAAAAATTAATCTTCGAATATTCGAAAGTTTTTGGCATTTACCTTTTGACGATCTACTGATGTGCTGTCCAAGTTGGAGTATTGCAAATATTTTAATCTTGATTGTTTCCGACATTGATTTGTTACAGAGATGGAACAAGGTTAGGATTAACATGCGAGTAGTGTGGTTGGTAATATTGTCGTTTGTTTGTCATCAGTTTTCTATTCAATTTTTTTCCTAATATACTTTGCAAAGATAAACTTTTCCACTCGGCCCGCTCATTGCCCATATGCGGCAGTGGTGTTTTTGACTTCGTAGTATGGCGTTCCAGCTCGAATTTAAGAATTATGAATAGCCCGACTGTGATAATAATCGTTTTAAGTTTAGCTTTACAAGAGAAAATTAAAATTTGTCTTTTTTTTGTTTGTTGAGTGGAGATGCACAAAGCTAATAAATAAAATAACAATTAATTCTTCTTCATCAACTTGTCTCTCTCATTCATTTTCAATAATTTACTCCCTTCACCCCTGTAATGAACATATGGTACACATTGATCAACAACTCTGTGCAATTTTGCGCAAATGCTAATCTCTCTTCAATTTCGAATGCATCTACCGCACAAATGTCGAAATTTCTCTCCAATCCGTAGCCAATTTCATGTTTAATTATTTCGCAGCGATTTCATAACAAAATGACATAGATTCTCCGGTTTACTTTCAACTGAACAAACAATTGTCATAATGTCAATCAATTCTCTATTTATTTTCACCTTTCATACGAATCAGGATTGCCAAAGTTAGAGAAACTATTCAAGTATGTACGAATTCTTAGCTTAACGCTACTTTAAAGATTTAAAAAAAATGTATTCTAAAACACAGAATAAAGAAATCTTTGCAATGTCTTAGTGAAGAAGAATTCTTCTATACTCACCGTCTTCGAAAACCTAAAATTTCGCGCTATTTCTATAATCATGGATGGGCGTGGGCGTTTTTTGCAGTTCTATGCAGGCCCCTGGAATCGGCCCACCCTATTATGAACCCGAACTTTATAACGTTGTCGTTGTTGTAATTTATGTGTACTGACAAAAAAAAAAAAAAAATTGAACCTTTTTGGTTCGGAAAACTACGGCGTCCTCAACATATGTTCGACTGTAAGCAAGTCCTTTCATCAATTTCAACCGTTTTCAATACCAATCTAATTTTTGCAAGCAGGGGAATGAATGACATTACACAGGATGAACAGACGGACATGCTAAAATATTGATCAAGACACACATATACTTTTAGTAGGGTTTCTGAAGCTTCCTGCTGAGTGTTGTGGGCGTTTTGATATAATAGAAAAAAATATGGTAAACTACTTATTAACAAATAATTGATTTTCATACTTATATCGATGATTATGATAAGTGATTATTATAAAAATACATCCTCTTAAATAGTATAAGATTTTCTATCGGTGCAGTCACAGTTTACCTATCTGTCAGTCGGAAAAGTTATTTATGTCAAATATTGATTTAAAATTCGATACTACGTATAGTCATTATTGCTAATCGACATCCAAAATGTACTCCAGTCTGCTAATTTACTATGCTTCTGATTAATGCGCAAGTTGTAAATTTAATGGGAACACGAAATAGTCATTGCGCTGCTAGTTAGGGCCTGACTATTTCAATAACTATTCACAAAAACCAAAGAGAAAAAAAATGATAAAAAATCATATAGCATGAAAACAGGAAATATTACTTTATCATAAGCAAAATTCGAATACGAAAATAGGTAAAAAAACCAAAAAAAGATAAAAATAAATAAAAAGCGAAAACCAGCGAATAAGATCAAGAAGAATAGAGAAATGAGATAAGATAATAAATAAATAAATCAAAACCA